CCCAAATACCATTAATTATATCATTATGAGTACTCATTCTCAATCCCCTGAACCATCTGCCCCACTTTCCAGTCAAACCAAGCACCATGGGTCCGGGAGGCATTGGACCGATGAAGAAAGTGCTCTGTTGGAAAAACATCGGGAGGAGTACAGAGACGCCAACGACGCTGCTCGTGCTGAGATATTTTCTCGAGTTTTGCAAGACATGCTCGACATACTCCCCAATGGAAAATCGTTCAAGAAGGAAGAAAGATCAGCTGTTAAAAAAGTAAGTACTTTTTCCAGAGGCCCTCTAATTGATTCCTGACGGACTTGTAGGATATTAAAGAGTGGTTTGCCCGGTACAGTCGTAAGAGAAGTCAGAAAATGCCGAGGATGGGAAAGTCGTGGCACGCCCGGTGTGTGTTCCAGCATGAGAACAAGGACGCCATCGATACTGAAGCGAAAAGGCTTTGTGCCGAAGCCATTGAAGAGGGACAAAAGAGGCCTAAAGGGGGAGATCCCACTCATTTTTATTTTCGGGAGCGGGTCGTGACTCAAATGATGGGAAAACTGAAGAAAAGGGAGAAAGACGTACTGCAGAGGACGGCCGAGGAGTACAACAAGAAGGGAGTTGACCCAGAACTCAAGTCCAAGTAAGTTAATTTTCATTATTCTAACGTTGGCTTATCTGGACCTTTGGTAGACTGGCTGTAAAGAACTGCACGGCTCGGATGCATGCATTTTCCAAGGAACTTTATGACACAATGGGTGTCTGGGTCTTTATCTTAGGATGTTATCTGAAGCCCAATGGTAATTTGGACGTCTCGACGTACGACTTCAATCAAGAACTCGGCAATGGGAAAGACTTTATTGATAACCATAGCTGGACTTTCCATGAGGAAGGAATATCGGTATCTTCTTGGAGAGCACACAATGAAGAATACTATGGGTTGGAGGATCTTGCTTTGGCCGAAGGAGGACACCGATCCCGGGGTGCTATGACTTTGGAGAAGAACCTATACCTGGAACCTATTCTACCCAATCCATCGAAACCACCACTTAAAACTTCCTGCCCTGTATCACTAAACATTTGTCTACTTAGATCTTGCAGCTGGGCAGAGTAAGGGATCAGCTCCTTGGACGGCTATTGGATCAAAGTTACTTGACTTCATTGATCTAGAATATATACCCCCGGCTTGGAGATCAGTAAATGGAGAAGGTAACAACTTTTACAAGTTTCTTGATCCCTCCAAATTCCCGATGGAGATGGTCACTGAAGCTCTCAAGTTTTGGTATGAACATCAAGAACAACACAAAGTCGCCTTTCGATTTAAATCCTTTCTTGAGGGGAAAATGCTGCTGGAAGCACCTCCATGAAGGAAAATCAAAGTTCACGTTCCTAAACCTCAT